TTTTTTTCCCGTTTTTTTTTTTTTTTTTTTTTTTTTTGTCACTAGGTAACTTGGAGTCTCAAGAATCTATTTCTCTATGAAATTCAATTGTTTGACAAGTCATTTTATCCAAAATTTTAATTATAAGAAAACTTTTTTCTATATATAAATAAAAAATACATTTTAATTGAATTACTTCATCCAATATTATAATTATAAAAATACTTTTATCTATACATTTTAAATTTATGTTAACTAAAATATATTCACTATAAATTTTTAAATATATTTTAACTAACTGTATTTAAATTTAATAATAAAATTGGACACGTTTAATTCATTGTCATGAAAGAAGGAAAAGTTCATCTCCCTCTAAGCATGTCTAAAGATTTTTTATTATAGAAATCTTTCCTTTCATTACACCAATTGTAAATATAGTTGTAAAGGTGGAGAAGCTTGGAATTTCAAAAAAGTGGTTAGAAATTCAAAGGTGAAGTCGTATCGTAGATGTAGAAGAGAGTTTTTTTCTCTATGAATTACCTTATCTCTTTAAATTAATGACAAATAATAGAGAGCTTTTATTCTCTATGAATTACCTTATCTATTCAAATTAATGACAAGTTATCAAGAAATCCTGGAGAGACTTTTATTCCCTCTAAATTTACCTCCATTTACACTCATTCTTTCCATATAAATGTCTACAACATACCCCTAAGAACTTAAAAACCAATTGCAGCAACACCCAAATGAATTACATATTTTGCAAAAAAAAATTACATAAATTTTCAAAATCTTCATAAACACCCAAGAGATTTCTAGAATATGCAAATTTTGCCGAGAAATCCACTGAACTTACAATAAATCTAAAAGGCTTCCAAACTTTGTAAATTATTGAAAAAAACAGAACCAACCAGTTTGTCAAAAAACCCAAAATGCTTCCAAAAACTATGAATTTTTAAAGAAAAGTGCCTAAGTTATCCAAACATCTGAACTTTTGCTGAAACAAACTGAAACTTTAGTTCTAAAGAATAAACCCTAAAATTTTAAAAAGAGCCTTGAAAATTTCATATTTTTAGAAATTTAGAATATAAACTAAATATGACCACATGCAACGCACGTGCACTATACTAGTAGATATAAAAAAATACAACTATACACAACATGAGGCACATGGGAGAGCAAAACACGACCTAATAAATTTAAGTAGTAGATAATCAAGGAATCTCATCTAATCCAGTTGCTAAAAGTGAGTGAAGATTGCAGAACAAATTATATTTGACATTAGATTATTTGTCCCCTTCTTGTTATTTTTATATGTTAATGAAGCTTAAGTTAAATCCCAAATTATTCAATCTGACACCATAGGATTTGTCTGCTAATCCCCATTTTGTCATGCCCTACAAATTGAACTCAAAAGAAATTGATTTCATTTGCTTCTCACTTTTGTTCAAGGGGATATAGAATCATTCTTATCAACAAAACACCAAAAAAATTTACAAAAACTAAAATGAACTTTATAATAATATAAATATATATTTCGCATGCTAGAATTTTTGAAAAATAGTTATTTTCTTATTATCGTTTATAATATTCTTTTCTTTTAACTAGTATAATTCACGTACTTTACACGTCAACATACATGTTTTAAGTTTTAAATTTTTTATTCAATAGTAAAACTATGTGTTAGTAAATAAAATTACATAGTAAGAATGCTTAAAAAGAATGTATGAATTAATTATTATTATGTAGTTGTTATAATTGAATGTTTTCTCCCAATGATTGCCCATTGTTAACCTTTTTTCAAATAATTAGCCCCCAAATCTAAAATTGTTCTTAAATAAAACCGTCAATTCTATAAGTTCTCTTAAATACGCCCCTTCAACTTGAAAGTTATTAACTTAACTCTAAATTAACTAAGCTGCATTAATCTTGCTAGCTTTTTCCTGATGTTTCCTAGATAGTTATACTTGATACATGCAACATATTGTAATAATTACTTCTCATTATAATTATTTAACAGCGTAAACTACCCTAAACCCTTATGAACTTTCAAAATCACATTAAACCTCTAATGACTTTTCTGTTTTAAAGAAAACCTCCAATAACTTTCTAAGTTTTGCTGATAACTCCTATAAATTAGTTAGAACCAAAAAATTGGCATAAAAAGGCATTTTGAAAGTTATTTTGGGTTTGCTGTAATTTATCTAAAAGATAATGGAGGCTTTCTACAAAATTTATTAGGGGTTTAATGTGATTTTAAAAGTTCATAGGGTCTATTTACTATAAAATGCTGAAATTTCATGAGGGTTTACTATAATTTACCTCATTTAAAGTTATAATTCTTAGTTCAAGTAATACTAGTAAAATAATTATATTGTCTATATACTATAAAATATTTATCTAATTTTATTTTTTTAAAACTTAAATAATTTAGTACTACAAATATTTTTATAGTTTTTTTATTGTACTATCATTAACAATTAATAGTCCTATTATTAATATTACATTTTTTTTAAATGTTAGTTTTAATTATTACCAAGTATAGTTTATTCAATATCATGTGATAATCTTTGAGAAAATACTTTAAAATAATATTAAATTATTTTTTTAATTTATTTAATTATATGATACTAAATAAATTGTATAATTTTCTAATTTATGTGATATTATTAAAATAATTATACTATTTATTTGATTCAAAATTTATTCTATTTATTTTATTGCTCATTGAATTATAGTATAATTCTTAATAGTATGTAGTAATATATTATTATATTTATACTATTATTTTATTTTGTTATTTTAAATAATTAATAGTTATAATATTATTGATAATTATAATTATTTAGGAAAGTGAGTAGGTGCATAATTAATAAGAGGTAATTATTGATTTAATAAAATATTAATTAGAGATAATGGCATAGTCAGAATTTATTAAAATTTGAAAGGGCAAAAAAGATAATTAAAAGTTTTAACATCCTAGTACTTTTTATAGCAATAAATATAAGTATAGATATAGATATATTATTTGCCCGTCTACTGGCCTTCGAAGATATCCTGATGTCAAAAGTCTCAAAATGCTATAATTAATGATGAATTTAAGGTTCCGCATTTTAGAAACGGCTGCAACAGAGCATAAATATGTATCCGTAAAGAATAACGCTAATCTTGTTTATAGCTTTTTTTTCCCATTCAAAAGACGTTATGAAGAGACCTAGTGCTTCTCTTTAAGATAGAGAATTTATCATAACGTATGACCAATCATCTAACTTGTCACATCAACGATTGCTTAAGAGCTTGTTAATCAATCCTTAGAGCTTAAATAAAGAGGCAATAGATTCTATCCACTTTGGTGAGCCTTTTTACTCTTTAATAATCTTAATCCTTTTCCCAAAAAAGCAAGCAAACCACAAATGAATATCTTAAAACAGAAGGGCGGGCCATTTTATTTGATGCAAAGGGTTAACTAACAATTGTTTTCCTTCAAAGGGTATCAAGACAATTTTAGATGAAGAAAACAGCCACTAATTAAGCTTGAAAAGCTTTTCAAAGATAAGATCTCATTCTTGTCATGAAAAGACCAATTAATAAGACTTAAAGTGCGATTTCGATTGTTTTTGGAATTTGTCGCATCTATATAAATGATTAGACCACTAACGTAACTTTTGAAATTAGTTTGGAAAGTGGCCTGAAAATTTAAAAGTGACTCTATTCT